GAACCTTGGATGCAGGAGGAACAACAGTTTTTGTCCTGGTCCCAGAAGACTGGACCAGCTTTTTATCCTCTCAAGGATATTTGAGGTTGCATTGGAGTTCGTGCAGTCAGTTAGATGTGATCTATGGACCCAGAGAAGGCATTTGACTGTGTTGCTTGGAGTATACTGTGGGAAGTGCTTCAGGAGATCAACAAATGGATTGGTGCTGCAGTTGCAGTAATGCAGACGCTCAATCGCTCTATTGTGGTGAAAAGAGAGCTGAGCGTAAAAGCAAAGCTTTCAATTTACTGGTCACTCTACATCCCTACCCTCACTGAAGGTCACGAGCTCTGGGTAGTGACTGAAAGAGCAAGACTGCATAAATAGGCAATGGAAATTAGCTTTCTCCAAAGTGTGGCTGGCCTTTCGCTTAGGGTGAGGAACTCATCCGTCTGGCAGGTTCAGAGTTAGAACCACTACTCCTAGACATCAAAAGGATCCAGTTGAGATGGTTTGGCCAATTGATTAGGATTGTCTCCTGGGCACATCCTGGTGAGGTGTTCCAGGCATGTCCCACCAGGAAGAGCCCCTGGGGACCCAGGACATGCTGGAGAGCTTATATATCTTGGGTGGCCTAGGAACATCTTTCTTCCCCCAGTTACGATGGAGGTGGCTGGGGAGAGGGAGGTTTGGGCTTCTCTGCTTAGGCTGCTGCCCCCGCGACCCGACCCCGGATAATCGGAAGACAATGGATGGATGGATTTCTTATTGGTTAACTCATGCTGGTGGACAGTTCTTTTTGTGTATGCCTGCATTTCAAATGCATCCTTTAATGTGAAGATTTCATACTTTAACGTTACATATATAAAGTGTAGTGTGATGGTCTGTGTCTGTTTTGATGCCCCAGGGAGACTTGCTGTGGTAAATGGAACCATGAATTCTGCTGTCTACCAAAATATCCTAAAGGAAAATGTCCAGCCATCTGTTTATGACCTTAAGCTGCAGCACACTTGGGCTCTGCAGCAGGACTATAACCCAAAACACA